GGTTTCAAGGCAAAAGGAATAAAAGGATCGCAGAAGTCGGGACCTGGGGCCTCTCTGCAGGTGTGAGGAGAGAGAAAGGAGGCTCTTGCGAGATTGCTGATCTGTCAGGCTCCTCTGACAGGGAGAAGCCGCTGCCACCAACAGAAACCACGAAGTCAGGAAATAGCTCCTAAAAGGCAAGGGAGATGCCCAGCTCAGGTTTAAACAGGCTGAGATCAAGAGATGGTGTGACTTCTATGTGGAAATGTTCTGAAGGTGATTATAGATCCTTCCTGAGAGTGAGAATTGCAGAAAACAGAGAACCTGGTACACAGGAAACCCTTGATACATGTATGACGTTGAACGGAATAAGCGGTAAGTTTGATAGGATGTGAGAGCTGAAAACCATGTTGCAGAAGAGGGAATATTCACGGAGCGTCCCTAAATCTTGTTGAATACTTTATTTACAGGACAGAAGGAAAACTAGAGTCAGAAGAGGAAGCAGGTAAAACAAAGCAGCAAATAAGCAAACCAGTGGGTAGGATGGTTGTGAGTGTAAGCAAATATTGCCAAACATTATCTAATGATAACTTAAGGTGAACACAAATGCACAAATGCAGGTTTTAAGTCACCTTATTTGATCCTTGTAACAATTATGAGGGTAGAAAATGCTAGAATGCTCCCACCAGTGAAGAGTGGCTCTAATTCATCCAAAATTTGCACAGCTCATTTGAGCCCCATCATTTGTATTTGAGAACATGACTTCACTTCTATGCAGCCAGCAAGAAAGAAAAATATCAATTTAAATAGGATTGTCATGGGGACAGAATGTGTGGACTGCTCAGCGCAATCTGTAGAGAACCCTCACCTCATGGTTTATCATTGTTGTAACAGGCTGTGTGCACAGATATGTACATAGAACATGGTGAGAAATTCAAGGGATTTTCAAGGGTAATCTTGACTCTGCATGATTTTTGCCCTTGGCAATGACTTCCATATTCTAATTCTTTCATGACACAACTTCACTCTAACTTGGTCCTTTCACATAGTTTTTATCATGTCATTTTATTACACTCAAGTTGCCATGATCCCATTATCTGAGCTCAGCCTTAGAGTTCTAGGTATAAATTTCACACAGATCACATATATGGAAAGGATGTAGCTGGGACTCACACTCATATCTATTGTCCACAGACCGTTCCATCACTACTGGAGGGGGAATAATACAGTGGCTAAAATAATGGACTCTAAAGTCAAGCTCTCTGTGTTCAAATCTTAGCTCTACCAGGTTTCATCTGTGTGATCTTGGGCAAAATACTTAATCCCTCTGAGCTTCAGGGATCCCAGCTGTAAAATGGGGCTGCGAATAATACCTAGCCCATGAAATTGTGTTTAGGTAGTTGTTAAAAGAGTTTGATATATGTGAAAAGTTCAGAACACTGTAGCTATTAATTTTAATTAGCACTCCACAGAATTTTCCATCTGGTTAAGTAATTAGATAATTTACTCAAATACATACAGCTAGTAAGTGGCTGAACTTAGACTCATAGGCTTCTTGACCAATTCAAAATCGTGTCTACTATTTTATCTTTGCTCAAACATGTGTATACTCAAGGTAATGAGCTATGTCCAGTTTGGGTAACAATATATATTTGGCAAAAAGCAAAGACTGCTTAATTTAATTTATTTTCATTAGTGCAGGCTTTCTGTGGGGCATGTTTAATATAATTGTACACACACAAATACATTATTGTGTATGACTGACATGTTACTGATCATACCACTAAAAGCTATTCTAGGGCCACTAGGAAGAGTGAAGAGTCCCCACAACCAGTTAACGACACAGGCCCTCTTGTACAAACTCCCAAGTCTGAAGAATGAAACCAATAATGAGTACCATTTAGTGGGAGCCTATGGTATGCTAAGCTCTTTATAAATATTACCTCTAAGTTAAGTCTCATCACTCCTATTTTACAAAGAGGAAAAATGGGGCCTAGGGAGGTTGTATGGCTTCTTGCAGGTCAACCTACTAGTAAGAGATGAAATGAATATCCAAGTCCGGGTCTAATTCCAAAGCTCTTATTCTCCCCTCCTCAACCATGCTGCTTCCACCAAAGCTAACAGAAATTAAAGAAGAAATTAAATGGTTAGGATTTATAGATGATGAACCACCATAAAAATTCACTGTTGTGCACTTTAAAAGGGGGAAAGCTAGCCAGTTGAACATTGGTTAAGGGAATGCTTTTACAACAAATACATTTTTTCCTTTTTTCATGTTGTCCCAAAACAAGAGAACAAAGGGTCAGTCCAAGTTCATGGCAGGTAAATTTAGGAAAAAAAAAATATTTTTTCCTCTCAGCATGGAGCCTCTCTATGGAATTCCATATTTGCAGAGCCAAATTTCAGAGTTATAGTTTTTAAAGGCATTTGGTTTGATTTAATGCCCAACACCAATGCTGGCTGTTGACTGGGCAAAGATTAGAGTAACCAAGTCATGCACTTCGGGGCTTCAGCTGGTTTCTGCTGAGGCCAAAGAGGGAATTTTCTTCTTTCTGTCACTTTTGCCATCTGTCACAGAACCCAAGAATCCAGAGGTCCCCCCACTGTCTTGTGGGGTTCCAGGTTCCCAGCAGGGCCAGTGTGTCATTGACAACCCACCCAACCAAGGCCCAAAGACTCAGTATCCACAGAAGTAGCTAATCCAGTCACTCAAGGGTTACCCCGTCTAAACCCCCAGCCACAAAGTGAAAACAGAGCAGGGTCTTTGTTTATTGATTTGCCTAGGACCCTCTGACTGGCAAAAGAAGAAAAAAATTACCCGGCACAAAATAAATGTTCGATTTCTTTTATGTAAACAAGATCAGGACCAACTTGGCTGTACAAAGCAATTCTTTGCATGTAAAGCAAAAAATAGCTCCCCTGAGGAGGAAGGAACCCCAGCCCTACTCAGCCTTCTCTCCACCCTTCCCCCCAACCCTTTTCGGTTACCACTGCTTTTCCGCCAATGAATGTCTTATTCAGGGTCCCTGTGCGGGAGTCACTGCAGGCAATGAGCTCACCCCCTCCCCATAACCCTATTCAAAATGTTTTCTGATCAAGATAAAGGCTATGGAGTCTATGCTGAAAGTCAGTATTATTGCAAATTATCTCCATAAAAAGGAAAAACGTTTATCCAAAAATCGCAGTCTCCTATTTCTTTCTGTGGGGCTCTGACCAGTCCCAAAATGCTTTTATGTGGGTTTAGAAGTGGACCAAAGGGAGAACTAGAAAAAACAAAATAAAACAAAACAAAAAAACTCCAAACTTTTTTTTGTCAAATACCCAGATGGTGGATGGCAATTTGGATGCTAATCCCTTAAACAAGGGTCGCAAAAACTTAGTTCATCTTTTGGGACCAAGGAAGTTAATCCTAAATCCTTGTTCAATCTTTATTCATGCCAAACTCCAGTGACTTAAGCAAAACATCTGCCAACTTGGATCACATGACTCGGCTTCACTAGCCAGTATATCTATGGATAGGAACGTTTTAAGGAAAACAAAAATCTAGCTGAACCTTCACCCAAAACTCAACGCCAACACAAATGAAGACACTCAAATTTCAGAAGACCTGATTTCCTGTGGAAAAGGGGCTGCTTTCATTTTTATATAGGTCCCATTTTCTTAGTGCATTCAAAATGAAGGCAGGACAAATCTCTCTGGAAAACCCAGTTCCCTTACAGTGACACCAAGCCAACTGGGCATCAGGCATTTAGGGGAGAGGATATTAGTGATGCTTCTAAAGCTTTAACTGTTAGGGAAGCATCTGGGTTCATAAGGTTCCATGTTATTGAGTGAATGCAAAGGAGATAGAAAAGAAAGGATTCTTGTACCTGATGCACTATTTCTCCCACTGAGGACCCAAATTCTGGGGGAAGGCTCTGAGAGCATTTAAATGCCCACTGACTAAGGATGCAAATGCAAGAATTTTTTCTTGGATGTACTCAGTATGAAAAATCCTCCACAAGAACACATGGAGCACTCATGAGAATAAAAATGGGGCCATGGTGGTGTCAACACTATCTTTCCTTCCTGATTGCTATGATTTCATCACTTGGTAAGGAATGCCCCAGGAACTGAGTGTCCTTATTCAACAGGACAGGAGGGGACACAGGGGCATACCCTCTCCTACCTAATCCTGCCCTGTCCCGACCATCGTGGTGCTCAGGGGAGAGCTCTTGGGTGTGGAAACAGGCAGGTATAAGAAACAAATGACCAAGTCTTATAGGGTCCCATGCAGAGTCCTAGTACCCTTACAGCTCCCCCCAGGCCTTGAGTGAACTTGTGGCAACTCAATTTTTCTAGGTAGCAATGAGAACAGCCTAAGAAAATGAGCAAGAAGACCTAGTGAAATGTGTGTTCACATAGAGATGCATTTATAGCCTGACTTACTCCGCCAAGGATTTTAGGGTGCAGTGACTTCATCCTCAAAGGCCCAGATGAAGCTCTTCATAATGGTTGACTCAAATAGAGGATTCAAAAC